GCTTTCAGGAAAAATGTGTGTGTGTGTGTGTGTGTGTGTGTGTGTGTGTAAAACCTAGTGAGGCACAACTAAACCTGAATCTTATCCATAAAAGTTGAATGCGAAAGAGTTTCTGGAAGGAAAGTATGTCTTTCAGTGGCAAATGAGAATTATGCATTGTTTTTAAAATTCTGAGAAGTTTCTAATTTGCTCAGCACAGAAGGCCACACAATCTGTTGCAGGACTGAAATTGTTTCTCTGACAGAAAAGGCTGGCATGGAGGGGGGGCGGAGATGGGCATCATTAGCCATGCCAACACTGAGACTAGTTTTTACCTACAACTTGAGAGAGTCACATGTTTTGTCTGTAAGATGGAGCACCAAGAAACAGATGTGCATGTCATCTGGCCTTCCCCAACTAGAGCCCACCAGATGTGTTGGGTTCAATTGCCATCATCTTTAACCAGCCCGGCCAGTGTCTGAAAAGGCTGAGCAAAAATGTCTTCCCTCTAGGGCAGGGTTTTTCAACCCCAGCAACTTTACGATGTGTGGACTTCAACTCCCAGAATTCCTCAGCCAGCAAAGTTGAAGTCCACACATCCTAAAACTGCTAAGACTGAGAAACTGCTCTAGGGAATGGAGACGGCTGTGCAATGCTCACCTGCCACCCAACCAGCAGAGACAACTGGCCCAAGAGAGCAGGAAAAAATGTGAGCGAAACTGATGCCAGAGTTGCAAGAACCACATTATCTGAGACTATTCATGGAAATCCACTATCTGATGCTTCAGGACTGTATCGGGCCTCCAAGAGCCTGAAGTCGCTGGCCGATATAGAATCGGTAATGTGACCAAAAAGGGAAAACGGACTAACTTCATTTAACTTTTATTAAGTTCACAGGAAACATTTTTTTTACCCAGTCCCATCCACTGCCTTTCTGTAGCTTATACCGTATGCAATTCAAGGCAAATGCATTGATTTTCCTATTCTTTTTGAGGGGGATGATGCTGTATGAGTGGAAGCATCATCTTAACCTCTCCTCTTTATCTGAGAGCCTTGTTCAGAAGGACGGACGTGGATGCTGGGCTCGTATAGGGGGGAGAATACTTGCAAAGCAATTAGCACGCAACCAGGCATCCTTCTGGCAGTTAAGCGTTGCAGGGCGATGCAACCTGGCAGCGTGAGATGTTTGCAGGGGCTGACAAAGTCTTTGCGTGCAGCCATTTCCTTCACGCAAAACAGTCCACAGCGAAAGGGAAATTCCCAGGCTCTGCAAGGCAGAACCACAGAGCAGGTGGGAGTATTTTTCAGGGCTGCTAAGCTGCTTTTCCTCTTTTTTTAAAGAGAAACAACATTTATTTAAAAACACAAGAAGCAGGGCTGGCAAATGGTCGAGGTGATGTTACTTTCCCCCATCTTTCTCTTTTTTTAAGGCTCATCATGGACAGTTTTACAGGCATGAGGGTTTGCTCACTTCAGCAATGGATGCATGCTGTGTTGAAGAGAGGGATTCGAATCAGGAACGCCTAATTTGAATTAGGATTCGGATTAGGAATGAGCAGATTAAGGAAGAAGAGAAACAATTCGAGCAGGGTAGGGCACTTCATGTTCTCCGGGTCCCCTGCCCTATTTCTGGGGCTTCCCCAGACCCCTCTCACCAGAGCGCCGTTCAAAATGGGGAGGCAAAGCAGCAATCTGGGATTGTGCGATTTAAATTAATTTAATTTCAATGTAATTTATGTTTAATTTAATTCAAAGCTAAAATGTGTGCAGGAAGAGGGCCAAAATGGGCCAAACACTGCAGCCCTGCCACTTTGGATTTTGCTCCCACATCTCTGGAGGGTGGTGGAAGAGACAGAATTAAAGGAATGGGACTGCAAAGATATGGAAGAGAAACTCGTCCTGGCTTCGGCCATTTCAGGCATGCCACCTCTGTCCCAACCTCACCCGCCACAGCTCACCTGCCTCTCCTCCTCCTGACGCAGCCGTGCCTCTTCCAAGCGGCGCTCTTCCTCTCGTTTCTGTTCAAGCTTCTTTCTTTCTTCCCGCTCAGCTTCTTCAGCCTTTGGACAAGAAGTGGGAGATCATCAAGGGTGTGTGTCTGTGTGTGTGTAAAAATCCCTCCTTCCTGGAGGCGACACAGAGCACCTCCCTAACACCGAAGAATATCAGAAGTGAACTGATAAGGATTTTAAAAATGCTTTTCCCCATCTTGACGCAGAAGCCAAACAATGTTACAGCAAGGAAATCCCGGTGCGGCTGAGAGCTGTGTACAAAAATGCAGAAAGACCGTGGGGTTATTAATAGTTAATTAATGCAACCTTCTCCGAGGTTTGTTGTTTCCAAGATTTAATGCAATGTAAATAATTTAGCACGGGTTTGAGATCACAGAACTATCCAAAGGTCAAAAATTCTGAGGCAGCAATTCTCAGTCTTGGCCACTTTGAGATGGGTGGCTGGCTGGCGAATTCTGGGAGTTGAAGTCCACCCATCTTAAAGTGGCCAAGATCGAGGAACACTGCTCTAAGGAAAGCGTACGCAGGAGTACGGCCTCAAAAGATGCCCTAGTTTGTACAAGCAAAACTGCAAATATGCCCAGCACAAGAGAGAGAATAGGGGTACTACCAATACTAAAATAGTCACAAGTGTGAGATGGGTGGCTGTATACATTTAATAAATAATGAATGAATGAATGAATGAACTAAAATGTGGATTTTTTTTTAATACTGTTCATTTTATGGGTTGTTTTTTATCATACGCCACCCAGAGTCACGTTTTGTGAGATGGGTGGCTATATAAATACGATGAAATAAATACATTAATAAACATTATTTAGGAAAAGGTTTTTCTTTTTTTAAAGCAAAAACATCAACTTTGAGTTCTCCTCCTCCCTTGATTAACTGGACAGTAAAACTAAAATCACAGTCAATGATAAACATTGTATTGATATCTCAAGAAGATGCCTTGCTTAAAAATCCTCATGCCACATGTTTAGAATCCATTTCACTCAGCTTGAAGGAGAAAATATTAGAGGTGGATTTTTTTAGTGATGCTCAAAATTTCCAGTGCTTAGTAGGAATAAAAGTTATTCTGTTAACTAACACCCAAATTTGAATGTGTGGTGTGTTTTTTTTTTTTAAAAAGCACAGACATTGATTCTAGTTGCCTGGGTCTGGGAATTCTGTTCCCTTCTCTTTGCACCTTCATGCATTCTCTAACTTGGTGCCCTCCTACTATGCCAGGACTACAACTCCCAGGATTCCTAGGAACATGAACAGATTGGGGAGGGCTCATTTATAAAATGCAGGGGAGACCCACCTCTCTCTGAGCCTTCCTTGCCTGCTTCTCCTCTAACTTCCGCTGTTTCTTTGCTCCAACCTTTCCAGAAGTCTGGAACTCAGCAGGTTCAGCTCCATCATTTTCTTCTGTATTTGGTTATTAGACAATCATTTTTTAAGGAAAAAAAAAAGGAAATGGAGAAGAATTGTAAGAGATCACATCACAGAGAAACAATCTGGTTGACTCCTTTTTCTTCTAGAAAACTTCTTAATAACTTTGCAGAGCAGAAAGACTTTGGGTATTAAGAATGGAACTGCTTGCTGTCCTGGTTAGATGTTACACTGATATTTGTGTATAAAAGTGACAAACTATTCTAAGGATTTAATTTACTTGGCATTTGCATTGTAAACTGCTTCAAGAATCCTTTGCATTTGTTGAGGACATTTCTCCCTTGAGAAAATATAAAACGTGCTCCCCCAAAACTTTGGGGGGGGGGTTGGATGTAAACTCAACATACCAGGAAATGACAAACTTGTGTTTGGACAGGACAGGACAGGACAGGACAGGACAGGACAGGACAGGACAGCCTTCAGGGACACGTGAGGAGCTGCAGTTGAACAAATCTCAAGGGCAACAAACTGAACAAGACCGGGCAGGCTGGGATGGTGGGGAGAAGGTGAAGCACCACAAGGCTCAGTAACACGTCCCCATGCATGCCTTCAGAAGGTTCAGCTGAGATGAAGACTCTTCCAATCTTCAGCAATCTCTCCTTGAAACTACTGACCTACTCCTTTAGGAGCCAATGAGGAAATAGGGGAGATTGGCATGGAAAACTGCAGGAGTAAGGTCATACACATTCTTCCCACCCCAACCTTATGAGTCCAGCCTAAATGCAAAGGGGTTTGGATCTGGCTCATAATCGGATGCAGTTTTCTGAACTTGAGGGTCATAATCTGAATTCCCAGTTTTGAAATTCACCTCAACTGCAGTACCTACACGTTTTGTAAGGTAGGTATGGACATTTAGAGAGGGCCTGTTGAGTTTTCCCCATTCTTGCAAGGTACACGGAGTATAGACCAGACAACAGGGTGTCCTCCATTCTATGGAACCCCTTATCCCCACAAGCATGTGCAGCTCAAACTCTTCTTGCTTTGCAGAAGCACATGAAAACAGCATTATTCTAGCAGGATGTTGGCCCACAGATGTGTTCAAACAGCCATCATTGGTAGTCTATCACTGCGATTAGTTTTTATTTTTAATTTACTCTGTTCTGGAACTGCTGCTCACCACCCAGAAGCCGGTACATTTAAAAAATAAATGTTCGCTTTGCAGCTTTGTTTGGAGAAGTTATGGGGACAACAGGGCAATAAGGCCAACACAACTCAACTTCACGGTCCTGCTTTAAAATGAGGGGTGTGTTTGCCTGGGACTCTGATTGAGAATCCATCCCTCCTGCCTTTGCTCTCAGCAGAAGACAGAAGAACAGCACTGGGAAGGACCCCATCGATCATGGCGTTCAGTCAATCCAAACTGACCCCTGCCCTCGCCCAGGAGTGTTGGGATTACACCCCCCAAATTCCAAGGTGTACAACTCAACCCAGGACTTATAACAGAGAATGCCTTCCCCACCTCCAAAGATGGCCATCCAACCTCTGCCTAAATACTCCAATAAAGGACAATCAATCAACTTTCACCTCTATAACATTTCTTTCAGGTTTAGATTGATGTACCTGCTTCAGACTAAGCCCCCATTCTTGGAGCAACAGTGTGAAACTCTCATATATCCAAGGAGGCAAAGTGCTACTTACAGAATTGTTTCATTTGGCCATCAAGCTACAAACAGAGTTTAGAACAATATGCATAAACTAGCTTATCTTCTCCTTTCCTTTCTGGCAGGACTGCGAAGTGATCAGAAGTCTTCCATTTTCAAATAACTAAAGTTTGTCATTATGCCCAAGCTGGGAACTGCTATCAGCCTTAATAATAATTTATCCAAACTACCCAGGTTCATAAACAACAGTTTTAAGCTGGCTTGTCTAGAGAAACTGAAGTTAGCATTCAGCAGTTTATTGTGGCATCACAGCGAAAAGGAATTTTTCCATTACCTCTTGGAAGCGTATTGGAGAATGAAAGGGAGTGTCATTCAATGAGCATTAAAGCATCCTCTGAACTTCACAGGCTATCAGATGGTATCCTACTGCCAAGTCAAATAACTCATGTTGACTAGTCAAATAACGTTGGCCAACTGACTTGCGTCTCTAAGCTAAAGCAGCCGACTCCTTTACCCATCCTTTTCTGAGCCCTAAGATTCAAAGCCAACCCCACCAGGCCTTTGAGATTACTTCAAGGAAGATCGGTAATTTGACAGAAATTATAAGCAGCCTGCCCTGGAAACATCAAAAGCATTTTTCTGATTTCTTTCTTTCTGAAATGCCTTTGCACTTCAAAGAGATCCACCCAAGTTGAAAAGTTCAGGGCTGTCAACTGAGTGTCTGTGCACCGCTCAGCAGCATCATAAATTCAGCCGGCACCATTGAGGCAGAACAAAGAGAAAGTTCCGCTATGTTCAAAGTAGAAAAGCACAGCTCCCCATGAAAAGGGAAGGCATGAGGTGGGATGGGGGGGGGGGCGAAGATCAGCATACTAATTACGAGCCGCCTATCTCTCAGGGAAAAAGCATGCAGAATTTTCATGGTAATAAAATTTCCCCAATAGGAGATGGACGCGAGGCGTACAAAGGGGACAAGACGCAATAAGGAATCCCAGTTGAGGCAGGCAAATGCCCTGGATTCGTATCTCCCTAGTTAAGGGATTTTAAGTAGCAAATCTGAAAAATTCTTGGGGGAGATGCTTTCAGGAAGAAGACACTGCACTGGGCTACAATCAGAATACCTTGCACATAGCTTACATTAAATCATAAGGCGGTTTGTTTCCTCTCAGCCTAGCAAACATATAAACCAAGCCACTGAGGTTTGTAAACCATGGCAGAGTGCAATTATGTGCACCCAGGTATATTCAATAAGCTAATGTTAAACAATCCATGATCATGCGGAAACCCAGCCTTTTAAGTATTCATGTATTCAAAAGCGCAAAAGCTCCATTGGAATCTTGTCATAAGCCAGAAGATAAATTATATCTTGACATTTTGCAAAGGTAAAATAATTCTGAGCAAACCCAAATTGGTCAGGAAAAGAAAAACAACAGTACGCCAAATCGGATTCCCTATGTGCTGATGCAGAAATCCTCATGGCAACCTTTCATTTCCAGAAGAGAGACGCTACTGGGAGGAGAGTGTAATATCAGTACTAGGACAGCTAAAAAATGAGCTTGTTCTTGTGAAAATCTAGGCTATGGATTGAAAGATATATAGGCAGTCCTTGCTTACCAAAAGTAATTGGGACTGGGAACTCCATCGCTAAGTGATGCGGTTGTAAGGCATGATGTCACATGACCGCATTGACTTACATCGCAATTCTGGCAGTCTCAGTTGCCATTGTTGGATGAATCCCATGTGGTCGCAGCGTCCCATGGCTTTGTGACCTCCTGCCAGCTTCCCTATTGATTTTGGTTGTCAGAAACTGGCAGTGAAGGTCACAAATGGTGATCACGTGATCGTGGGATGCTGTGATTGCCATAACTACAAGAACTCGTCGTAAGTCCCCCTTGTTCAGTACCATCGTAACTTCAGTTGCTGAGTGACTGGATGTTAAATGAGGACTACCTGTAGTTTTGATTGCCTTTGGTGTATGTTTCTCCAAAATATCATACTTTATAACCCAGCACAGGAGACATGTCTATCTGCTTCTTGTCTGCAATCTGTGCTGCTCGGTGTTTGTCATTTCATTGCCATATGATTTTATTTCTATCCCCATTTAATTTGTAAGCTGTCTCCAGTTCCCCCCAAACAGGTTATACATTCTATTAGCAGACAAACATCACTAACAAAACTTGGACAACAGGGAGCTGCTACCTTCCACTGCTTCCTCGGCCTGTTGCGAGCGTCTCAGAGCGAGCATCCTGTTCCTTCGGTGCCTGGGCATCCCATCGCCCCGCTCACCGGCGAAGGGCTGGGGTCGGGCTGCTGCTGCTGCGGCCACCACATTCTGACGGTGTTCCTCATCATCTAGATAAGAAAAGGAACGCATGTTATTATCTGTTGGACATAACTGAGAGATAGTTTGATGTAGAGGTTAAAGGCACAAGGCTAGGAATCAGGAGCATGTGAGTTCCATTTCTGCTTTAGGTACAAAACCAGCTGGGTGACCTTGGGCCAGTCCCTCTCTCTCAGCCCTAGGAAGAAGGAGGCCAAGGCAAACCCCTTCCAAAAATGCTGCCAAGAAAACTGCAGGGACTTGTCCATGTAGCCGTCAGGATTTGAGACTGACTCGAAGGCAGACACGCACATGCACACACATATTCACCACAAACTCGGTATATTTCGTTTTTCTAACAGCAAGTTGTTTACAAGTTTGATAAGAAGGCTTTGGACGAGGGTAGAGACTGCCCCACCTTCCCAATGCAAAGCCTAGCCAGGACCAGGCTGGTTGCTCCTGGCTAAGCCCTGTCTGAAGAGCTTCAATGCAAACTATACCTCAGTTCAAGATGAGCCTTTCAAAGCAGATGTTAGAAAGCCCAGCGGGGCTCCTGTAAATTCAGGGTTCGTTTATGTTTGGAAGTGAGTGCCACTGAATTCAGCGCGGCTTGCTCCCCAGTAGGTATATAGGACGCTGCCACACAAAGCCCAATAAAGCCACTTTATGTGTTCTCCTTCCAGATGCAGTTCTACTGAATGGAAAATAAATTAAAAATGGCTTTACAAAAATATCTAGAACTGGCTTCAATACAATTCCCTGAAAGCCAGAGAAATAATGCCCGCAAAGGTGCATTATGCCAATCAATGCTCAGGACTTTGGGCACTCCAATTCCTCTCATCCTCATCCAGTATGGCATTTTGCCTTGGGGGCAGGTAAGTATGCATTAACTGGTCCTTTTGCCCTAATGTGGGGCGGGGGGGGGGGTTGTGGGAAGGGGGGTGGGGGGGGGGGCATTTCCTTCTTGGAAATGTACCCATCTGGGTTTCAGGCTTGGCATCAGCCAGGAGCCCAAAGCAGGGGAAGTGGGATGATGATGGCATGTTCTGCCGATAACTGGATGTGAGACCTTGTTTTTAAGCTGGGATTCAAGACATTAAAATACTTCCAATAATCACTCAACAAAAGCACTTATCCAGTCCACCGTAACATGAAACCCAGTGGAAGGTGTTGCATTTAAATTACAGATTCTTCCAAAAAATCACTTTAAAGGTCTCAAAACATTACAATGTCTTGTCTAGCACCTAAAAGAAAATAACTCAGTCACCAACTAAATAAGAATTTCTATTAATGGATTTCTCATTATGCAAAGTCTGAATCTAACATACAGACTTGAAAATAATTTTTATTGTTGCCAAGGCAATAAAGATTAGTGTAATCATGGTTACTACAGTCACTATTAATATATAGTAACCACATTAATTTCTATGTTACATTTTACTTATATTCACATCACTTTCTTTTGCATAATTTCCTTCTTCTGCTTTATATTTTTAAAATGTGCTGTTCAGTCCATTCTGTAGTGTCATTTGGCCCTCCATTAAATGGACTGATGTAACAAAATAATTTGACATTAAAAAAGCAGGAAAAATGCAGCCCCAAGAGTGAATTTCCATCACTCATATTGCTCCTCCACAGATGTTCTTCACAGAAAATCAGAGTCTGGTAGCCTGTTTTCCGACTACCAAATTTTACTAAAAGGCAGAAGCTTTCGTGAGCTGCAGCACATTTTTAAACTAACCACTCTATGCATCTAATGAAGTGAACCACAGCTCCTGAAATCTAAAAACATAATAATGCCACCAGCAACTCCATTTCAAAATAGAACCAGACACACAAAAAACTGGGTTAAGCTCAGAATTCCACAGAACTGAGTTTAATTTTTTAAAAATGGAGAGAAAAAAAAAAGAAAGATGCTGTTCATAGGGTGTGAGGCTTAAGTGGTGTTCACTTAAGTTTCAACTCCACCGCTCAAAAGATTGGATCAGTAACTTGCACCCACTGCAAAAGGTTGCCTCAAGCTGTACTAAGAGTAATAATATAAAATAATTCGGAGCAATATGAAAATAAATAATTTTTCCTCTGGTTCAACATTATTTAAAAAAAAAAAAAGCATTCATGTGAGCAGGGAGGCCTGTGAAATAATCTTGGCTTTTTTTTTTCTTCCTAAAGGGAAAAGCTATATTCTTTGTCTGCGTGTGGATAGGAACTAGAGTAGTTTGTGTAATTCTGTTGAGACAGAGTCTTGCACACTTGAGGAAGGGGGTGCAAAGGAGTGTCCAAAATAGATTCTATGGTGCAACTACACCTAAAAAAATAAGCTAACGGACTGCTAATACCACATCCTGGGACGCCTACAGGGCCTGAGACATACCAAATCAGGCCAACCCGAGTTGTGAAAGATCACGGCTGATGTGTGACAGGACGGTTGGAAACAGATGCAACTGCCACCAATTGTGAACACCACCCAGAAAGGTCAGAGGACCGTGGGGCTCTCAAGCAGCAGATGGAGATATAGCTCTCTTCCACCATTTTTTCCTCGTTAACTGGTACTGGGAGGTATGCTGTCTCCAATCCAGAGAGAACATTAACTGGTCCAGGCTGATAGTCCTTGATGGACCTGTTCTCCATGAATGTGTCCCGCCCCTTTTTAAAAGCATCCAGGTTAGCGGTTATCCCTATACCTTGCGCAAAAAGAATGAGTGCTTGGGAGGACAAGTAGAGGATTCATTCGTTCATTCATTTAAATGGCTGCCCAGTTTGCAAATGTAAGTCTGGGCAGCTAACATTTGGTTAAAACAAACACACATAAGCCATCAGAGCAAAAAAGCTACAAGCACATTGCCTCCAAGGCCATTCACATATCTACCTAGTAAATCTCTTAAAGACGGGTCCACCGAATGCCCTGGTCAATACAGTCAGGGCCATCTGAATTCCAGGGGGCAAGGTATTCCCCAGGGCGGGCAGGCGCTGTGATAGAACAGAGAAGACACTTCTCCTGGTCCCATTCAGATGACACTGTTTGAAGGGACCTGGAGCTCACCAAGCCTGCCGAACTACCAAGAAAAGCCTCCCTTGCAGTTCACAGTGCCTTTTTGTCAGAAGGTAGCTGAACAGATGTTCATCATCTAGGCTTCCTGAATAGGGGTGTTCTCCAGATGTGCGGCCTTCAGAACTCCCCAGTGAAATGGTCTTTGCTATGAATTCTGCAGGGCACCTGAAGTGCATTTCTGGGGGGAAATAAATTTGTTTTATTTTTTCCAAACACATCAAGCGACGCTAAAGTGAAGTAAGATACAAATGTCAATTCGTTGCAATTATTTGCATTGCCTACTAGGCTGAAGAGGTCATTCTAACACAAATTCTCACTATTTCACACGCAGGGTATCCATGGCAGCAGATGCTAATTTAATCTGGGCTGAAAGAGACGCAGCACCGGATTTCTCTGAATTGCTTTTTCTCTGTCATGTATTGGAAAGACGTGCAATTTTGCCCACTGCCTTACTCTTCCTTTGTGATACATTACAAAGTGCTGGGTGCAAGTAGTCTCAGAAAAGGCCCTCTGCACGTGATCAAGGGCGCTCAGCTATTCTGACATCGTGAGAGGAGATGCACGGATTAAGGAAACGTTCTGTGAGCACTACTGCGCCAGTGTAGCAGAGGGAAAGGGATGAAGGCAAGAAAAACCTGAGGCATCTCAAGGAAAGTCCAGAAAATGCCCCCACTGCAAGTCCCAGAGAAGGGCACTACGGGTGTGCCCTCAAACCCATTTAAAGGGTATCAGGTTGGGGAAGGCCAGAGCTGACTGTGCCCAACATTCCAACTTTTCCCTATCAGGCCCTTTGCACATGGTCAGAGGCACTCATGCTGCCAGACAAAGAAGTGCCCAGGGTCCCTGAAAAAGGGAGGTTAGGGCAACCACACCGGAAACTAATCAAGAACCCAAGGAAAAGCACTCTGCGTATCCTCAGAGGCCCCTCCTCTCTGGATTCCTTGCAGGGGGCAGATTCAGGACCCAGGTGACAGACAGAAGCGCTGGACTACAACTACTATCCTCTCCAGCCAGCACGGGTGGTTAGATGCTGGCCGGGGGATTATGGGAATTATAGTCCTAGGCGTGTGGAGGCCTCCGGCTAGAGGAGGCCGTCGCTCTCTCCCGGAAGTCCTCCCCCGGCGCAGACCATCCTCTCCTCCGGCCCCGTGGGTGAGGGTCCTACCCGCGCGCGCCTGTCCCCTGACGCGGCTGACGAAGACGAGGAGCGCTGCCAGCAGCACCGCCGCCAACACGTAAAGCACCGGGTCCATGTTCGCCACGTGACCGCC